AGATCGATTCTGAGCCTTGACAGCAACAGAGTACAAGCCTGAACCCTTCACCCTAACTTCCTGAATGCCAAACCCCAACACTAAGCCTTGATTCCAAAACACGAATACCTGACCTCCCTCCCTGAGTGTACCAAAGTAGAGGTTTAGGGTCTAGTTGGGTTTAGGCTTATTCGGGTTTAAGGCCTAGGGTTGAATATTCCAAGCGCTAAAGCCTAAACTCTAGATCGTTTCAACTCAAGGCTTAGTTTGAACTCCAGCCGGCGCAGCACCAAGATGGTTTGTCCGAGCGGAAAACGGTTTAGGGGTTTAGGGTTTATACTCAACTATTCAGGTTTAGGGTTCCTCTTGAGCTAGTCAGAATACTTCTAGACCTAATGTCGGGGTCGAATGACATTAGAGTTACACCCTGCACCCTAAGGCCCTGCAGACTTAAATACCAAGTTCCCAAACAGAAGCAAGGAGCAATGCGAGTGCAAACTGAACCGCAGGACTTCACAACTCTCGCAAGCCAAGATCACAGGAATACATCTGATTAAACCAGAAAAACCCTTAACCCAAAACTCGTTTAGAGCCCTAAGCCTTTAGACGCGAAGACCTTAAACCCCAAGCCAGAACATAAACTTGACATAAACACCCCGAACCTCCAAATCCCTAAAGCCCGAAACCCCGAAACGCTGAACCCTGGTGTCGAAGCAGTCTCGAAGGATGGGAATGGAGAAATCGATTTCGAAGAGCTCTGCTACCTTGAGATTGTCATGCCACTTAGCAATTGGTTTAGAGGTTTAAGGTTTAGGGCCGATTAGTAGGGTAGGGTCTTTAGTAGGGATTTGGGGTTTGAGGTTTAGTCAGAGTTTGGCTCTGGGCTTGAGGGTAGTAAACAGCTCTCGGCCACCATCGAGGAGTTCAGACAATGAGTTAATTTAGGAAAAAAGGGTTTGGAATAGGATTTCGGATAGGGTCAGATTTCGGAGTACGATCTAAAATAGGAAAAAACACAGGGTTTCGTGGGATAAACATTTGAAGCTTTTCGGAAAAGTCGGATTTCGGCCTAAACCCTAAACCCTGCAAGCGTGCTTGGATTATGTTTGAAAGGTAAGCGGTTGCTCTTCGGCCCAGGCGTGCGGCACTTGGGACTTGGGACGCTAGTCAGTCCAGGGCCCCGCTGTTTAGGGTTAGTGGCCCAGGTGTTTAGGGTTTAGGGTGTAGTGTATTTTACACAAAAGGGAGCTTTTACCTGGTTTTGGGGGAGGTCGGGGTGGTCCAACCAACGCGAGTTGAAAGCTCCGTGCAAAGGTGGATGGGTGGAGCTTCTAGCTGGCTTTGGGGAGGTAGGGGTGGGGAGGGGAGGGGAAGGGGGCTGCATTCGAGTGCATTCGAGTGAGCAAAGAGCAACCTTACCTCACCGTTGAAGGGGGAATGCATCCGAAATAAGCAAAGAGCAGCAATCCAACTCCCACCCTCTACCATTGGGGGTCAAGGAGGGGGAGCCTCTGGCTTCGGAACCGTCGGGCAGGAAAAAATCTGGTCCACAGCCCTCCCAAAAGAAGTCGAGTAAGTGGAGTTGAGGGTAGCAAGCCAAAACTGCTCCCAAATGCTCCTAGACTTTTCAAACTTCAACTTTGCCATGCGTGTGAGACCTCTGCACATCCTCGTTCCATTTAGCAGAACAGTGCTAGATATCACGCCGTTGTCCATTCTCCCGTGTTGTCTGCGTGTTCGGGATATGTCAATGTCGTCATGTTTCCAGCAGTCAGTGGTCAAGATCTTCGTTTATAGATTCCAGTGGCTTCTTTTGCTTATCAGCTGACTGTGTTTGCCTGTTTGCGTTGAACATCTAGTCAAGCACGTGTACGAAGGTGTGTACGTTGTGATCTACATTCTAGTTCGAACAGTCTTGCGTTAAGCATGCGAGTTGTCATGGTATTGCTGCTGTTGCGATTGTTCCATGAACGAATCTGCTCATGCCTGTGTTGTGTTGTTATTTGCTGTCTTACGTTTTTCCCCCAAAATGTTTTCCCGTTTTTCTATTATGTATTTTCGTTCCTATTTTTTCGTATCCATGATTCCAATTTTTTACCTACGTTAATTATTTCCTGGGTTTCTCATGGCTGGCTGACGATTCCCTTTACTACTTTAGGATTTAGGGTGCAGGTTGGAGGGTTTGGGGTAGACGAGCAAGTCTTCAGACATGACCACATCTTAGATAATTGCCACCACCCACTAATAGTGACACAAGGGATGGTGAAATAATATCAAGGTCCCTCTAACATTGCTACTAGACCACTATCGCTGTGCACGGGGGCATACCCAAACCATATCAATCTCAGCTACTGAGCCCGATTTTGTGGCACAAGCACATCGCCTTTTGGAACCCCTAAACACTCAGAGTCTTCAATTTGAAGCCCCGAATCCCTACAGTCCGGAAGGCCAATCGGTCTGCAAAGTGGATTTGCCAGCCCTAAACCTCTAAAGCCGGAAAACAAAAGCACGTGAGACTCAGGTCTGGTGCACGGCCTCAGGCACACCTGATCGACTACAAGACGTTCCTGCCAGACTCGCCGGCTGCAGTTCCAGGTTTTTTTGGGGTACGGGGCCTTGGGTGGTTTAGGGTTTAGGGTGTTTCTTTTGAGGAGGGGGCGTGGACTTTGAACTCGTGTTGATGCTTGGCGTTTTTTTAAGGGTTCTTGGCCTCCGGTGGCCGCTGCTTAGTTGGCTTCGGATACTCGGGTTGTGAGTTTTGTTCTACTCCTGGGCTTTGTCTTTATCGGGTAGGGGAGGAAGGTTCAGGGCTTAGCGTTTGGTATCCTCCCGCTCGGCTTTACATCTCTCTTTTGGGCATGCACCTTAGCACTTTTAGTATCTAGAACGCCCTCAGAAACGACTGCAAGCTTAGAGATGGAAGGTCCTACCGTTGCACCTCCTTCGGTGGTTCCCCCTCTCTTCCGCCTCCACACTTCGTGTGTTTCTGTATTGTTGTCATCCCGACTGAAGCAAGATGATGAGCAAAGTGCTGTCGCCCTAAACCCTGAACCCTAAACCCTTAACCCTGAACCCTAAACCCTGAGCCCTTAACCCAAAACCCGCTAAGGAAAAGACCACCAAGCAGTTGGAGGAGTGGTTCTCGTTGAACGACATGGATGACTCGGGGGCAATCTCCATTGATGATGCCCTGCGACTTGCCACCAGTATTTCTAGCTAGAACCCCAAGCCCAAAACACCACTGAGGAGTTCTTCTGGAGCCTTGAAGATTGTAAGTTAGAAGTTTCAGGGAAAAAGTACAATGGAAGGTGACGTGTAGTGCACAAAACCAGTGGTTGAGCACAGGCCTCGTATTGCGGTAAGTATCAGTGAAGCTCGCGAGTTGTGCTTTCGGTATCCTGCTTTCTATAGTTGCCATAATGATTACCGTAGGGTTTGAGGATGTTGCAGGTATTATTATCGAAACACTTTCTATAAGCTTATCTCAAACTCTTGAGCGTGACATGGTCGTCTGTGGCTCCTAAGCTCAAGTTTGCGGGACTCCTTTTGGAAAAGTAACAGTTGAGGGCAACCTGGGTTCTTCTGAAGGAGTTTAGCTTAAGGCCCCATAAGAAGGAAGGAAGCCACATTATTTGCTACAGGTCCCGTTTCTGCTGACTTGAACAAGGCTTTGTAATCCTTACAGTAGCCCTCATGGTCCCTTTGGAGAACCTGTATAGTGCCCTTTATGGTATTTTGAATTTGCCCAGGCTCCCTCACCAAGAGCCCAGCCCAGTAACCGGCCCCAAGATCGGGGCTCGGGATGCTTGCAGCTCAACCTTCGCGGTTGAAATAACATTTCTGCTATGACATATAGGTAGGGTTGTTGTTGCTAGTTTCATTATTTTGGAGCCTGGTAGTGACGTATACGAATGCTTAGGCATGGTTTGTTGTTGCTATCATTCTGCTATTAAGGTGTGTTTAGGTCAACCCTCCCTGTGAATCCAATTGATCCGATGCCCGAGTCGCTTCAACTCTTGATTCTTATACTCTTCTCGGACTTCAGACTATCCTTCGCAAGATCCTGAGATTTTGTGTAAGTTAAATTACCTTGATAAGGAAACCCTAGTATTTACTATAGATCCTTACTGTGGTAATATTGATTAACTAAGTTTGAGTCTGATTTCCGAAGCAGCCCTACCAATCACACAGTTTTGGCATCTAGTGCTTCGGGTGTAATTTCCGATGAAAGTGGAGCTTCCACTGCCCGCGCAGCACATCCGAAGCACTTACTTCCAAGAAAGGGATTGCAGGCAATTGTTGTCTGAAATACTAGGAGTATGCCCTTGCAGACCCGGAAGAAATGTGAGACGTACGACCTACTCTACTTGACTTGGGACTTGCGGCAACCCTTCAAGATTACGTCATGTGCGACATCCGGAAGTGGCTAGACGAAGCTTTCACTCGTTGAGGAAAATTGCGGAGCAGCAGGACGTCAAGGTTTCAATGGATGATGTCACGGCCCTCCTGCACCCGGGCTCATGAGTCATGGCATTAGGGTTCGGTAGCCCTGAACCCTAATGCTAAACCCTAAACCCTAAAACCTAAACCCTAAACCCTAATGCTAAACCCTAAACCCTTAAACTCTGAACTCCGGGGCCTGAGCGGGTCCTTAAACGGTTTAGGGTTTAGGGTTTAGGGAATTTAGCTGGGGACCGGGCTGCTGTGTACGAGGCCTGCTGTAAAAGGGAATTTAGTAGATTGAGACGTTTATGGGTTCATCTGTGTAGTATTTGCCAGCTCGCTTTGCTTTGATACTTTCCCCTGGGCAAGACCTCGAACGAAATGCCTGGCCTGGAGTGTCCGAGTGCGAGCGCCCAAGCTCTAAACCCCACAGCCCTAAACCCTAAACTCCAAAACCCTGTCCTTGCTAAGTGGGAGGGAAAGAAACTCCAAAACCCTAAGCCCTAAAACCCCAAACCCTAAACCCTACAACCATTAAAACCTCGAGCTTGGGGGACTTCTATGGCTTCTGTTTCCAAGTCTGAGAGAGTCCGTGACCGAGTTCGAGCCGTGCCGATTTTGGGGTGTGATAAGTTTCGGTTTAGGGTTTTGGGGCTGACGTAGGGTTTAGGGCCGGGTGTGGGCTTATAGGGGAAGGGTAGATGGAGCTGTCTTAATGGCTTGCAGGAGCTCCCATCCTGAAATCCGAAACCAGACAACAACTGCCACCTGCGGAAGCAGCTGTACCCCTGAAGCCACTCTGAGCAGATGCCCACATTTTGTAGCTAAAGTTTGGAGGCATTGCGGGAACCTCTCCTCCGACAAGCCTGTCTAGGCCCCTGATTAGGCCTTGACTCCTTCGTAGACAAGCATCCCTCAATCCTCGACCCCTTAGTTCTGCAGCCCCAGGTCGGAGGTGAAATCTGCAGCCGACGGCTGGTTGAACTTGCCTTCCTTCTGCGCGCTCTGGACATGCATGACAAACGCCCAGAAGATCATCAACTATCGCGAGCGCCTTGCCTCCCTTCGTCGCGAGATTCGGGTTGTCGACGTTTTCTTTGGGATGCTATTCTTGGTACCCTGGGATTCTGAAACCCTAGAGCCTAAACCGGGCTTGTGTGAGTCTCTGCAGGCTAAGCCGCTAATGTAGGGGCCTAAATAATTCCCAAAACTATTTTGGGGGCTCCTTATTATAACAACTATATAGTAAAATAAACCCAAAAGCTCATTCTAAGTATTAAGGCCTCTATATCAAAGCTAAATCCCTAAGAAAGTCCCTGAAAGAACATCAAAGAGTGTTCTCCGCGTGATGCTAAGCAGATCTGAAGGTTTCCTTGATATAGATATACTAGAATCCATCTACACCAAAACCCTATTTCAATTGTCAAGACCTTCTAAGAATCAAGGCCTCAATTTTTTACAGTGCGGCACCCAGCCTCGAGCCAAGGAGAGCTGGCGACTTCACAAAACCCAGGGTACCAGATTTGGGGCTCTCTGAGACGGTTTTTTGTTGCGAGGGGCTCTCTGAGGTCTTGGGCTTAGGGTACAAGGGTTGAGGGGCACTCTATATCTTAAGGATCCGTCTACTTGGGCTCCATATTATGGCCCCGTCTTCTCGCGAAGCAAGGACGAAATAACCAACGTTCAAGCACGGACCTCTTCGCCAACCCTTGAGCAGAAGCGTGGAAGTCCCTCAACCCTAATCCTAAACCCTAAACTCTATAAACCCTAAACCCCTAAACCCCAAAATTCATAAACCCTAAACCCTAAACCCTAAACTCTATAAACCCTAAACCCCTAAACCCAAAAATTCATAAACCCTAAACCCCTAAACCCTAAAATTTATAAACCCTAAACCCCTAAACCCCTACCTAGCTGGTCCGAGTGTGAGCGCCGAAACCCCTAAACCGTGGAAGTTTAGGGTTTAGGGTTTAGTGCCCAACCCGAAATGCTACGTCGCTTGGGCCACCGCTTCTTGACCCTTGAGCCACAAGCCTGGGGAGTCTAGACTCCAAAAGAAGGGCCTTAATGATTAGAGTTGGGCTTTGGGCGTATTTTAACCTATGATTACAATAAGGAACTCCCAAAACAGTATTGGTAACCCTTTAATTGGGCCCCTATGTTAGACCCTGCGGGTCCTGCAGGTATCTTGAAGCGGAGGAGGTCGCTGCCTACAGGGCCATGTTCCAGGACATGTGTGTGGGTTGGATTTCGGGATGGACGATCCGCGTTCAAACTTTAACTGAGGCCTGCGCAACAACGTCCCGATCTTTTCCAATTATAGTGGTGGAGCGTAGGCATGTTGGGCTTTGGTTTGTACGGAAACTTTGTTGGGGCCTTTACTGGATGCTCATGGAGACAGGTTCAACAAGCAGCTACATCACTTGGGTTTGCATCACTCGTCGAGCTGATAATGTTCATGCTCATGCCAACACCTCAGGTAGCTCGTTGTAGAAATACGATTTCGGATGACCTCGGCTGCACCGGGGGTCAGCAGACTACTTCTCATGGACTGTTTTGTCGGTTTAGGCCTGCAGCTCGTTTATGTCGCTGGCCTCTCAGGGCACCATCATTGGGCGAGCTAGAGGTCTTAGGGCTTCAGGTGGGGACCTCGCGGCCTCAGGCCGGAAATCGCAATGCAGCCACAAGAGACGAAAGATAGGCACATGAGCCGCTGAAGACTGGAAGAACTAGAATCCTAACTCCCATTGAACCCTAAATCCTAAACCCTAAACCCTGGATTGTCCGAGTGTGCGTGCCGAAAGTTTCGGTTTCAAACCCTAAACCCTAGATCCTAAACCCTAAACAAAAAATCCTAAACCCTAGAGATAACACTTCCCCCCCCTGCCCCCACCCGCTCTGAAGGAAGCTTGCGAGGGCGGCAAGGAGGAGTTGAACCGGAAGCAGGCAGGCGGAGAGCATGACTCCTTTAGACAGGGAAGAGTTCTTCAACTGTAGAGAGATCAGAGATCCTTGACATGATTTAAGACTAAGACATACTCAGACACTTAAAAACCCCAAATCCCTAAACTCCAAAATCCCTTTAGTTCAAAGGTTCCAAATTCAATTGCCTCCTTAAGTTACACGCCGAGTTTCAGAACATAGTGTCGTACCAAGTGGTGCCTGAAGCTCGGAGCCGCGAAGTGGCCTGTCCCGAGATGCGTCATGAGCACCCCCTAAACCCTAAACCCTGAACCCTAAACCTTGAACCCTAAACCCTAAACCCTAAAACCCTAAGCCCTAAACCCTAAAACCCTAAACCCGATCAAGCTGGGCAGTAAGGTTCAGCAGCCGGGCCTCTTGTGACGTTTAAAAGGCGTGAGGCTCTAGGGTCCCAGCGGGTTTAGGGCTTAGGGCCTGAACCCTACCTGGGCTCTTGTTGAGGGATTTCAGGATGAGTTGCCAAAATAATGATAACAATAATTAACCATGGCATGTACTATAGGTCCCTATTATGGTAACTTAAAATATTAAGTCCCCCAACAAGAACCCAGCCTAAGGCATTCTAAGCTCTACCGGCCCTAGAGAGTGAACTCAGAGGGGCAATCGTCGACCGAGAGGGCTAGGGCTTTAGGGGTTTAGGGGTTAGGGGTTTAGGTAGGGATTTAGGTTTAGGGTTTTAGGGGTTTAGGGGTTTAGGGTTTTGGGGGGGTTTAGGGCTTTAGTAGGGTTTCGGGTTTACGTAGGGTTTTAAGGGTTTTAGGGGGGCTTCGCTCCGACTCCCCCCCCCTTCCCCGGGTGCCTTGGAAGTTCCTCCCTGAACGAGCAAGGCAATCTTCCCCCATATAGCCCGGATATACTTCTGCCAGAATATAGCCCTTTAGGGTTTAGGGTCTAGAGTCTGATTTGTTGCGATAGACTTTTCGGGCCTCTAGTGTTGGGGTTTAGGTTTGAGTTTGGCGGCGCTACTTTCCGGATGCAATGGTCTGGAAGTGCTGCTTCCCAGCTGTTTGGCAGAGTCTGGGTTGAAAACGGGTCTGATTTGCTAGAATCCCGGCATCCTAAAGTGTAGCTACCCATAGGCTCCATAGTAGTTCCTTTTTGGGATTACCTTATAGGATCCTAGATACAAACCACAAAACGGAACTACTAATGGAGCTTATGGGTAAACCCTGAAGCCGATACCCAAAACTCCAAGGGGGGAGTTGGAATAAAAAGTTCGGGCCGGGCCTGGCCCCGATAGTTTGGAGTAATTCCCGGGGCTGGTGAGGAGACCCAAGATCCATTGAGTTTAGAGTAGGGGTTTTTTGGGGGGCTTCGAGGCATCTAAACTGTAGCTGTTGTGCGTCTATGCTCTCAAGCTTCGAGGTTGTGGCCTAAACCCTAAAACCCAACCCCTAGGGTCCCTAGTTGGCCTGAAGACCTCAAGCCTGGACAGACAGAGCCGAATGGCAGTGCGAGATGTCATATCCTTCCAGCCCAGCAGGTCAGGCGATTCAACTGGCAACATCCGTTTCAGCAGACATCCTGAAACTGAATTCTTGTTAAGGGATTTAAATTAAGTTGCCATAATGGGAGATCTATACTAAATCATAGGCCTTCCTTTTTATAGTAACTTAAATTACATCCCTTAGCAAGACCCCCCTGAAACCCAAGCCATAGGGGCCGCTGAAGGGAGTTACTTTATCGGGCCGCGATAGGGCAATTAGGGTTTAGGGTTTAGGAGCTTTAGCACATGAGAACAATGCCGTTGTCTGAGAGTCTCGTAGCGATTAAGATTCGCAGAACCCTGAACCCAACGCCTGAAAACGTAAATCCTACGTACCCACACATCCAAGAACCCAGAAATTGGGGCCCTGAAAGTTGGGCAAGCTTCAAAAAGCAGCCTGAACCATAAGCCCTGAACATTTCGTGAAACTATCAACATGGAGGTCTCTGATGTTTTGCGGAATACTGGCCTGGTCCGGGTACGCCGTCACCTTACACGGATCTGGGAGGCCCGATTTGTGTGTTCTGCTCTTTGGGGTTTCGGGATTACGGCCTTGACGTTCGGCATGTTCTTAGGGTTATAACTCGGAATCTGGGGGTTGCCCATAGGCCCCTAAGTAATTCCTTTTTTAGATTACCTTATAGGATTCAAAATGTGAACCATAAAAAGGAACTACTTAGTTTAGGGGCCTATGGGTACACACCTTAAATTCTGAGAATCATCGGTTCTCAAGGCAAGAGGGGTTACGCTGAGGCTTCAATGCGCATCAGGGCCCATACTATGGTTTTAGGAGTTTGAGGCGGTAGGAGTTTGGGGTTTAGAGGTCTAGGATTTAATGGACTGGCCAAGGGTCGGGGGTTGAAGAAAAGCCGGAGTATTTCCACGTAGAATAGACCTTTCGTGCAGCGTCTAGCCATGGGCTCGCCAAATCCAGGACCTGTTTCTGTTGCCAGACCACAGTGCAGGAGATGGCCATCGACAAGAAAACGATGTTGGCACCTTTGGCACATCAGTCCTGAGATTGCTCATCCGTTTTTGTTCGTGTCTCGAAGGTTTCGGGTCCTGCCGCCACACCCCCAAGCCTGAAACCCTGAAGCCATCAAGCCCTGCACCCCAGAACCTCAATGGTCCAAGCCTGAAGAGACAAAAATGTCAAGCCCACAGCCGTTGAGTTTCAAGACTTCTAAAGACTTGAACCCGAAACCCCGAGAGCAAAAATCAAACCCCAGAACCCTGAGACCACCACCTCAAGTCCTAAATCTGTAAGTTAACCACGGTAAGGGGTTAGACTGTTGCTGTGAGGCCAAAAGTTAAAGGGGGGCCCTGAAAACAACGAGTTGGTTGGGATCAGCAAGCGGGGTTTGAGGCATCATTGTCCGGCCCCTGCTTACCTTTGCATCACCATACGGAGGTTTGCGAAGATAGGGGGCCTCGTGAAAAAGGCCCTTGCTATTGCAGTATTACAGGAGTAGTCCTGTCTGACGGAAGTCCCATTCGTCACAGCGTTCTATGTATGCTTGGCCAAGCTGTTTGCATTGCAGTGCTGGCCGTACGGTTTCGGCATTAGCCCTCGGAAATTCGGCGATGAAAGCAGGCCAACGCATGAGGGAGCGAGCTTAACGTTATCCCCACATTGGAGCGAATTTTCCGAGACTAGCTTCATGCGCTTCTGGTTTCAATGAGACTCTCGTACCCTAAGCCCAGGCTTCCTTGCCTCGAAGCTGGCACCCTGAACCCTAAACTTACCTTTGGTTAGTAGGGAATGGAGGAATGGGAACTATTATAAGTACCATTACTACCATTCTTCCATTCCCTACCAACCAAAGGTAGGTAAAGCCTAAACCGTGCACTCAGCCGACCTGATCGTTCGGTTTCAGCCTTCCCAACTACATGCCCAGATGTTTAGCTACTCACAAAGGTTCCTGAATCCCCCATTGAAGTCTCTAAACCCTGAACCCTATAAACCCTATGCTTAGACTCCGGAACCTCCTAGCGACCCCAAACCCGTCGGTTGCGGAACGTAATCTGAACCCGAAATAAACTACTTAAAAGACAGGCATTTCATACCCTTACGCCCTTACGCCTCCTAAACCCCAAGCGGGGAAAACTCTAAATCCTAAACTAAACCCAACGCAATATTTTGCGGGAGACTCTTGATCCTTTTCATCTACGCCGCAAGTCGGAATTATCATGTTCGGCCAGCGATTGCCATTGCTAAGGCAGCTTCTTGATCCTGCCAGGTACAGCTCATAGGGTCGAAAAACCTGCCTTCGAATGCCCGGGGGTCCTAAATCCTAAGGGTTTCGGGGTTTAGGGTTTAAGGGTTTTCGGCAGTTTTCGGGTTTAAACTAGCTCAAAATTATAAAGCTCACAACCCCTACAGCCCTATGGTAGGGAGCGTGCCAAGGACTTCGCACAGTTTTGCGTCGTGATCGTCCGGCTCATGAAGCGACGGAAGTATCGCGAAGTGAATCCACAGAACCATGGCTGCTCGTTCAGGCTTTAGGCTGGGATAGCTCTAGACGTGGCCTTGCTGGGCCATGGGATTATTGAGCGAGTCATTAGAAGGCAAGTAGCCACAACGGGCACAGATGTAGTAATCAAGCAAAGCAACAAAAGTACGGCAAGGGAGTGGCAGCGGAACGCATAGCAATGGCAGCACCATCTAGAGAAAAATTACTGTTCGTACAGCTGACGAGCTTTAAGACCATGTGACCTACGTGTCCCACAAGAATTTTCGCATCTACCGGATTCTACCGGTATAGTAGGGCAACCTCTTGAAATGGCATGCGCACCGCGGCAACAATCCCTGCATTAACATCCAAGGATAGCCATGAACCCTAGAGTGTGATGCAGGTACTCTCCTCAGTCCGCCGCATTTGCATCCTGACCGTACCCTAAAACCCCAAAACCCTAAACCCTAAAACCCTAAAACCCGAAAAGCCCTAAACCCTAAAACTATGCAAGCACCACCCGGCCCACGAGGACTTGCACTTGTGCGAGACTCTACGAAGAAGGGTTCACCGTGAAGGAGCTCCTGATGCCCCCCCGTCGCAATTACACTGACTTTGTCACGGTTTCCCTCAAGAATCCCCAGGGTTTAGGGTTTAGGGGTTTAGAGAGAGAGGGGTTTAGGGTTTAGGGTGTGGGGTTGAGGCCGAAACTGTGTCGAACAAACCGAGTACTCATGACATCTGGTTCAGGCTGGAGGCTGCATGCAAAGACTACTGCGAAGAAGGGGTTTGTACAGAGCTACCCGGGCGTAAGGCTGGTTGGAGTCCTTGCCGTTCGGTGTGCCGAGCTGTTGGGGTCAACTTGGGCACACCCTGGTGCTGTTTTCTTATAGAGCCTCGCAGGTCAGAGAAAAGCCAGTCGAGTCTTCTTGAGCTGCAGGTCGGGATTCAAATTGAAAGACTTCGAAGCCATCAGGATACCAGCCAGCTTCTCGGACAGCACTACCTCTGTCGTCAGCACCGGCTGAACATAGCTTGTTTTGGCTATTGCGCACTGCAGGAATGCACGATAAGGCGGGTTCGTTGTTCTAGTAGCAGCTTGGAGTCACGAATAGCAGGTCATCTCAAAGCCTATGAAAGCCTTCCCCTTCCCGCAGCTCAAACCACTGTCACCCACTGTCACTTGCAGCCGTGGGCTACAGACCAAACACCGCACAGAGGACCTCACAGACCGCAAGAAGGAGGGAACCACTAGGAACGATATTACATAGCTTGTTCGGCTATAACGTTAAGGGGGCCACGCCCATGGGCGTCCTCCCAACCCAAGACCATGAACCTTGTAGGATTCTGTATGTGCTTCTGTGGCACTTATGCACTCTGTGCAAGATCCTAGTCCAGGTTCTTAGTGACAAACAACAGGTGGCCTTTTTCCTAAAGTCGTTGGAAATGGCCATACACAAGAACTCGCCGCTTACGGTAGCTGTTGCAATGACCTGACCTAACCCGCCGAAGGGAAACCCGTGTAACAAGTGACTGCAATTACTCTGTTGGTTCTTGTGGGTGATTCTTAATGCCTACATGAACCACAACAGTGTATGGCCCGATCCTCTATAGGAATACAGCGCTCATAGTATAGGATCTATAATCCCAAGCCCGACAAGACTGCGTCAGCCACGCAAGGAAAGCTCTACCAGGATGGGGGGTTTTCGGCGCTGGAGCTCCGTCGTGTAGGCCCGGTGGTGCAGGGTTTCGGTTTTAGGGTTTTTCGGGTTTGGGGTTTGGGTTTTGACTTAGGGTGTAGGTTCTGGCTTCCCGCTCAAGTTCAAGAAACTACTTCGTTTTGGGAGTTTGTTCAGGTGTGCCTATAAGATTCAAGTGCAGCGATGCAGGTGGATCTGCTGGGCAGTAAGGCACAGTACTGCGATAGAATTTGAAGCTTCTCGCGTCTTGTCAAAGTTGCTGTTTGTGTTCGTGGCTGCTACATTTGTGCTTCGTATGTCGCATTTCACAGGGCAGGGGGCTTATCTTCTCGGGGCGACGTAGGGCTTTGATCCAGAAGTTGTAGGGGTTCAGGCCTTAGAAGACTGTGCAGCAGTCAAGCGAGGCCGGGATAACTCGCTCTTGATAATACGTCAGTTCGACAATGTACAGCTGCGAACAGAGAATAAGCAAGAGCAGCTTGGCCCGAGAGGCATTTTCCTTGCCTTACATCCAAGACAAGATGCAAAACCCCGGCCAGCCCTCAAACCCAACCCAGCAGGCTACACGGCTACGGACCTTCGACGCGCTGGATTAGGTATCGTTGAGCTGAGGAGCTTGGAAGCGCCAACTTTCTTAGCGACGAGCTTTTCGGGTTTTAAGTTCGGGTTTAGGGTTTTAGGGTTTATTGTTTAGGGTTTAGGGTTTAGCGCCTTGGCTTGCAGCTCGTCTTGCTTAGGTTGAAGGGCTTTGGCTGGGCAAATTGCAGCGAGCACCGCGAGCTCTGCGAGGTAAGTTTCTAATATGCTTAGATTCGCGCGGCGCGAGGTATGAAATACGAGACTCCAATCCATCCCCCTGTCCCCCTTGAGATTTTGAAACAGATCTCGCCGGCCCCAAGCCATAGAGTCTGAAATATGACATTCAGTCCAACGGCTCGCGGCATAGCGAAAGGTGCGAGTTGTTTGATCGCTTCCCCCCCCCCCATTTGTCCCACGAAAAGACGAAACGATCAAGTGGCAGCCGCTCAATCGTTTCGCTTGACCCTCCCAACCTGCCCCAAACCCAAGCTGCCCAAGCTTGGAGGAGGTCTGAGAAGCCAAAACGACTTAAAACGACTTAGTGGCAATCCTTTCGCCCCGCCCCCACCTGCACCCGATCTTGGAGGGGCCATTAAATGATTTACGACCACCCTTAGCCACCTCTCAATGTGGCTCAGTGATTGCTGGAACGCTCATCAGTTCTGCTGGTGAAGCACGCAGGCTCGAATCCACCCTGTTTGGGCCACTCCCCTTCCCCCGGCAACATGTGCAGGGCCAGCCAAAAAGGACTTAGTGGCAGCCACTAAGTCGTTTGTCCGCTCCCCCCTGGCCGCCCTCGCGCCCCTGCCCCCGCCTTTGCCGTGCCCCAGAAACAAAAAAACCCTCAGCTCCCCTCCCGCCTCCCACCCCTCCCTCCTCCGCCCACCTGCCCCAACGAGTTAGTGGCAGCCACTAAATCGTTTTTGTGTTTACTGCTGCCATCTGCTGCTGCGAGGCAGAAACAAGACGCGAGATACGAAACAAGGCTGCGCGGTGAAATTATGTTTGAAACAACTGCACATATTGAACTATGAAATTACACGGTACGAAAACAGAACTACAATTTGGCCAGTTTTGAGCGGCTTTGGGTGTTGCCGGACCAGTTTTGAGTCTTGCAGGTGGATTTTAACCCACTGCCACAGATCCTGATCCTGGAACAGCAGCCAGTTAACTGCGAGGAGGGTAGGAGGAGTAGGGGTAGGTAGCATGAATGACACCTGCACACGTCTTTGATACGGCTCTGATGTACAGCCGGAGACCCTTCGCATCCAGCTCTGCTCCTGAAGTTAGGGTTTCAGTTCTGGCAGTTGCGGTTTCAGGCTCCGTGCCACTAACGCTTCGCCTCGACCCCCTACCTAAACGACCTAAACTCCATAGAAGCTAGATAAAAAAGATTACCCAACGCATACTAGAGGCTATTATTCTACATGTTTTTGGGGGTCCAGGTGGATCCTGAAACCTAATCCATAAATCACCGCAGCAAACCAGGAGCTCCGGCTTCTCCCTCTCAGAGCTTCGCACGGATTCACGGACGCATTAGCTTGGGAGCTTCGCGTTCGAGATCATCTCTAAACCCCAAAAATCCTGAACCCATGGGTTTTGGAAGTGGAGCTCCAGACCCCGAAGGTGTCACTGATAGATACATTTTTCTCCCTGAACTACAGTCACTGGAGGTTCTAGATTGTGGTAGTAACCCTGATGCTAGCATGCAGCTCTTAAAGTATTTAAGGCCCCTCGCTAGAGCTTCGGGTTTGGGGGCTGCCCTCTTTCGAGTTTAGGGTATGGGGGCTAAGGGTTTGCGGTTCATGGCTTAGGGCTTCGGGTTCAGGTTTCTGTTCCGAACTTGAAGCTTGCTGGTTTCTCTTGTCGCCTCAGCTAGTAACAATTCAAAAATCATGCACCCCAGCCTTCCTTGCGGTGACACTAGGAAGAATCTCAGTCGCATAGTTTCGAGCGGATCGCTGTGCAGGAGGGGAGGAGTCAGAAATAATGAAAAGCTACTGTAAATAAGTAGCAGCGCATAAAAGCCCTTAAACCCAGTACCCCCGAAACCCTCAACCCCCACAGCCCTAAACCCTAAAGCCAGACAACCTGGTTGATCTGATCGGCTTTCTCTCTGGCCGCAGGCCTTAAACCCTACCTCAACCCCCAAAAGTAGGTAAAATCATGGCCCAAAACCCATAGAAGGCTATTATTCTACATACTTTTGGGGTCCAGGTAAACCCTAAAGCCCCAAAAAACCCCAACCTAACCTTTTGGTCTCTTGATACCAAGGCATTGAATTCATAGAACTTCTGGGGAGATGACCGCTTTCTGCAACTTGTAGAAGGGTGTTAACAGGTACACGGAAGGCCCGACCCCAAGGCCTTCGACTTCTAACTCCGAAATCCCCTATAGTTACTATAGAGGCCTGAAGAAGGACCCATATTATTCCTTATAGGGGGTTCCTTAACTCTTGTGTGTATACTATAACTAGGAAGGCCTCTGGGACATTTTGTTTTTGATTATTGGGCTGAAGAGAATCTTATTTCCGAATATTTTTCAGAGGCTTTGAGGGGCCAACCTAGATAAAGGAGCCCACAACCCTATATTCTAACTATGAAGGCCCCTACATGAACTGCATTGGTTTCTACGCTCTCTGTCCGGCTGCAGGCAGGATTCTCTGCAGCGGGGCTTGCCGAAGCAAACCGCTCTTTGGCTCAGGCTTTCGGAAGCTTGAGAGGTGTGCGCGGAGATCCGAAACAGGGAGTTTCGGATGTTTTCAGGCTCAGCATCTGAGGCTTCAAGGTCATTCGGTAGTTTGGGTACTCGCTCAGCATTGCTAATATGAATGCAGCAGCCCCTGCTCTCATCAACGCTGTGAAACTTTGAAAGGCCGTGGAGAGAAGCAAAAGGTCCTGCCCAGGTATACTCCCCGGCTCCGCGGGTAGAACGGGCATGGGATGTCCTTAGCCGCATTTCCATATCACACAACCCCGACATGATTGACCTGGAGCGAACCCTCCGTTCGTACACCATCTCAGGGTGTTGGGGTTTGGGATCAAGAAAGGAAGGCACCCTGGCAATCAAATCTCTTCCGACTACATGTCTCCGATCGAAGTCTTCGTGATGGCTTAGGGCTCCAAGGTGCTATGCTTCGTTCATTACACACACGCACACACACACACACCCCTCATCAGATCCACCAGCCACGCTCGCACGCACGCACACACACACACAAATCGCACTTCAAGAGCGGGCGTAAGGAGCCTCATCCCGGGGAGACCCTAGGTCTAACTACCAAGGCGGATACGGGTGGGTAGCGCGGGCATGAAGGGCAGGAACCTACGAGTCTCGGACGTTTGGGGTTTGGTCTTCAGTCACGCAGCCATAAACCAGAAAGAGCGCATTAAAAAACATACTCCACAGCGAACTGGAAGCATGTGGTCAAGAGTTCTGCGATGACCTCCTATCCTGAACCTTTGAGCCTCGCCTGAGGCCAAAGGTCTCCGTTCCTCACATGGAGGTTCAAAGTGCAACTAAACCCTGAACCCTCAGTCGTGCACCTGTCCAGTTCCCAAGGCTCCATGCACGGCTGCTTCAGCATGGGCGATTTCACCCTCTTGCCACAGATCTTGGCTTCAAAAATTCAGAATTTAGGGTTGAGGGCTCGATACTCATATTGGCAATACTGTTCATTCACACCGTTAAATTAAACCGTTTTGGGTGTTAGGCCCTGATCACCGAACTGTTTATGCGGCTCCGACAAAATGAATAGGAACAGGGGGGGTGCTAGTTGCAACAGCAAGAATGCACATCATCATAACACTATCATCAGCAGCCTCTCAGCATGGGGTTGTCCGAAATCCCGCGTTCCATGAGCTCAGGGTTGGAGGTAGCTGTAGAGCCCTGCTTCAAAAACTTAAACCATGCATGGAGGAGGTTGAGAAATCATACTCACAATAGGCAGCCCTCCTTCAGATGAGGGGTATGTACGTGTCCTTCTAATGAGGTTAAGTCTACGCCGGAGGGTGTATATAGACTTAGATAAGGGCCCATTAGACCCTAAACCCTAAGCCCAGTAAATGTCTGAAACTGCCATGGTTTGAGGGGAGATCCCAGGATGTCGAGTGATACACAGGCGAGAATGAGTGGTAATGCTGGTCCGTAGGGTTCCTCAGTGTAATTGTGGTGTCACATACAGTAAAAGCCAGAAAGTTGGAACATCAATCTCCGCATGTCCTAGGATAAAAAGTGTTAAGGATCCTAGCTCTAGTCCTAAACCCATCTTCCAACTTTCCGGGGTTCACTGTACCCCAAGCCCTACTCAAGTTATGAAGCAGTCTTACCCCAGCTTTGTACCACCCCGAAGTCAACTGGGCCGGGATGCGGCGGCATCGGTGCCAACACTGGACTTAATATATGCTGCCCTAAACCGTAAAGCCCATTAAGGCTGATGCAAAGAGAGTCGTACACCCTTCAACAGTTCTAGCCCAACACCCCAAGCCCAAAGCCCTAAAGCTTTAGATTGAACAGACCAGGATCGGGCTCAAGACCAGCAACATCAGCAACTTGGTTGAGCATGGTTCCTAAATGATTACGAAGAGGTGTGGGTATCTACAAGGGCTGCTACAGGGGTTCGGGAGCAAGCCTGCTAGTGTTTTCTTACTGGCCGTTCTCTTTGTCATTTTGGGGTGCGCTATGTCTGGCTAGGTCTGTCGCTCGGCCTGATATTCTTCCTTGCCACTGTTCTTTTCTGGAAGAGCGTTTCTCAGCTGTTGATAGTTTGGCCTTTTTGGAGGCATGCCGTCAGACTCTTGGTGATCATGTCCGATCTTGCACACTTGGAAGAGCTCTTGTTGCTCAAACACTAGTTCAGTGACTCTTACAAGTTCTTATATGTCAAATTGTGCACTCCTTTCTGTCGTTCATGCTTCTACCTCAGTTCTCTCTCTTTCTGTCACCTTACATAGTGAGTTATCACCGCTGCATACTCCTTGTTTGTTAGTTTCTATGATGCTGACGAACTCACATCCATGGGCCTACAGTCTGCCCTGGTCATGTGAAACTTTGCCAGGCGCCGCCAAACTGACCTGGGGAGGCGTCTTCAGCAACAAGGACTTCAAAGCACTGGGGTTAGGGCGGTTAGGAACAGCCGAGCATTTGTGAATGCCTGGAAGGGTGGTGACAAGCACCCACCTTGGATGGCGTTAGATTCCGGATGGTTTCTTACCAAACCATAAAATCCTTGCACTTGCAACCCTTCGGCCAAGGACTTCGCTTAAGGTGCAGTTCTTCAGTTCCTCATTCAGCGAGGTTTGCTGGCAGCATGTGCTCCGCACGGTGTCAGGCTCTTACATGTGATTGATCCCTTTGCTACGGCTGTGGGCTTCGTGTTCCCTGTGATTGCGCTTGACGCGACCCCTGAGGTTCTGGCGGATTTGTTGATGCTTGACTGTTGCAGGACCCTAAAACCTTCCAGCGTGTGACCATGACGCCGCTCATTCGGGAGCACACCGACGGCCGCCATACGCTGGGACTCTCGCTCGTTACATTGGCTTTAGGGATTTCTAGGGAATAGAGTTTATTCTCCTGCGCAACACTGCTGAAGAAGATCCCACTGAGCAACGTCGCCAGGCTGGCACAATTACAACCAAGAGTAAGACTGTTAATCGACAAGGCCGCTTCCCCAAATGTAAGACATCTGCAGATATATAGCTATTAATTAATGAAAGACTGAAGTTGTGATGTAACCCGAAAGCAGTAGCCACTGAACTCCGGAAGAGTATAGCCCTGAAGTGCGACGGTGTGATGTGCAGAACCTCTTTGTTTTATCCATATTTAGGGGTTCAGGGTTTAGGGTTCAGGGTCCGGGTTTAGGACAGCATAGTAGTAGTACCTGCTATCTCTCTGCTAAGCGCTAACCTGCCGCAACCAGAAGCTTTCAGGTTGCACTCAAACAGACAGGCTGCCTCTCCGTGACATGGGGCGGCAAACACTACCTAGATGCTTGGAGTGAGGGTTTTCCGAAAATAGGGGACCCTAATATAGTACCTAGTAGGATATACAAGCTTGCACCATCGCACAAAGCTAGCAGAGTCGTGGACGCGTGGCTTGTTCCCGCGTAGCCGTGTGCTCTGTGTCAAGGAAGCCCATTTGCTCGAAGTCTGCCGAATTTCCGAGTGATCCCGCCGCTTGGTCTGAATGATGGCTCCGGATATGGATTTGAAGCTGAACCGAGGCATTGAGTTAGCATCGTGATGCAGTGTCAAGGGGCTACAGAGAAACCCCCGATCTAAGCCGGGAGCCACATTGGTTAAGCTCAAAACCCGACGGCTGAAGCGAGCATCGTTTGACTCACTCAGGATCCCCGCCACACCACCCCTGGAGGAGTTTGACTACTAGTGAAGCCAGTGGTCAAAGTGCTGCCGGAAGTCTGGCACCGCCACCGGAAGGTTTATATTTTCTTGAGCAAACAAGCTTGAAAAGGCTGTCCGCAAGCCTGCTCATATCTTGGTTTCTAATGAAGGGGTATTTGACAAAGCTACCACCTGCCACGATTTAAACCTGTGGCTTTGCCTCCAGTTCTTGCACTTCGGAGTGTATCTTGTTTGGCCGCGTGCAGCTTAGTGAGTTACTCCAATGGTGCTGAAGCACGTGCGGCATTGCTAAACAATGCAGCACCCCAACAGTGGCATCGTCCACCATCTTAAAGCCACTTACAGCCACGACCTATCCAGAGCCCTGAACTGGCTGGTATGCTGCAGCTCCTGCCCCAGAAGAAACAGAGTTTCAATGAGGTTCAAATTGGAGCTTTACAAAGAAGAACTCTAGTTTATAGTTTGTAGATGTTAGTAGCAATCAAGAATGAATGCCACACGAACAGCAGCAAAATGCAGTACTCTGATGACCGCACTTCTGCTCCCGCGAATTTTGCAGCGCTGAGGCTGCGTTATGTTGCTCATTCGAGTCTTGTCGAAATCTCTTCTATACGAGGAAACAGGCATCAGTCCTCAGTGCAGCTTTTACGAGCCATAGTAACCCCAAAGAGTGCAACTATGAGCAAAACATAGAGCAAGAGTGCTAGGTGCAGGAGCGTAGTAGCAGCAGAAGTAGTGCTGGTAGCTCGAAATCTGAAGGGTGTCTGAGGAGAGGTCGTGGGCTAAAGTTTTGCATCGCTAGCACCAAATGAGTTGGGAACATCTCCAATTCAGGTAACATTGGCATAGATTCGATGTCTCATGTGAGGTTGCGTGTTTGCGCTCTCAAGCCACGTATTTCAGCTTTAAGGGGTAGGGTCTACGAGCTTGCAGAGGAGGGCTCTTGAGAGATGTTCATGTGGTGCTGTCTGACTTACACGCATCGAAGAATCACAGGGCTCCCAGTAAGCTAAGATCCATGTACCTCTCCTACCGGTCCGACCGACAGTGTACGACCGTAGATCGGACCTTCCCCAGTCAAACTGCAATGGAGAAGCAGCTTAAGGCTTTCGGCCCTTTGGTTCCAAAGGTTTCTGAGGCTCTAAGCTGAAAGTTGGGCTTTAGGACTTTAGGGTTTCTTGGAGGCAAAAGCCGGACTTGTGATATACATATATATATATATTAGATTGTAGTAGTCGCTGATAGTATGTTATCGTGTAGTGTAGTATCGTATACTGTGGTATATTTCAACTCACTCAAACCACTGCTCAGCCAAGATTAGCGCTGTTCGGCCAGAAGCTGTAACAAGAGATGAGAATCTTAAGCTCCGCCCCATATCCGTGTCGAGTCGATGCTAGGTGGCTTAAGGTTCTAGGGCCTTGTTTCTCTCAGAAGGTGCTTGCTTTTTTGTTTAAAGCCACGTTGCAAAGCAACCTGGTTCTTCTAGGCAGCGGATGGTAACACCTCCTTGGAGGCTGAGTTCGGGTTTCAAATGCCTGTGTTTTGTATAGGATGTAGAGGTCGGTTCGCCAAGTCGTCATCTTCGAAATCCGTTTAAACCCGAAGCCCCACATCTTGCAGTCTCGCATGAACCCTAAACCCTGATCCACAAGAGCTTTTGTGACCTCTCCTGGTTCAGGGCTGCTCGTGGTGTTCCTTTTCCTCTACCAGATGACACAACACATTTTGTTGGGCGTCATTCTCCGGCGCATGCTCCGTCCTGCAAAGTTGGCGCAGCTGAACTCTAGAGTTCGGGTTTTCCGGGCAGAAGGCGATCTTTGCTGTATATCTGAGACGGTGTCCAAGCCCTAGCCATGGAAACTCGAGGTGCCCATCCTAACGCCTCAACTTTCGTTTAGGCCGTTCCCTTATTTGAATTTGTTTTGGCGCAGTGCTTCCCTTGAAGGGAAGCCGGATGCCCGTTTGCATGCCGACAGGGCCTGCCGTCAGCTTCAATGAGTTTTACTCTCGAGTCTAGCTACGAGGCCGATTTAGGGGGCTTCTTGAAATTTTTCGGACTTTTGTACGGAGGATCATACTGTCTACGGTTGATATTGGTTACCTTGACACTCCCACATGATCTATGAAGTCTTGCTCCCCAGGGGCTTCTTGGCTCCAACAGGAAGCAGCTAGCCCGAGTTTGTGCATAGGCTTTCAGATCGAGAGGTGGCGTGCCATTGCCATGTCACCGCCGAGCAGCCTAGTGGCTTACTTGTAGAGTTTCAGATTTCCCGAGGATCGGGGGTGGGGGGGGGTTCCGATTCACTTTCAAGCTGCCTAAAAGCTTCGTTTGATCTTAAAGTTTCACCCCAAACCCAAACCCTAAACCCCTGATTAAACCCAAAGAGACCTAAAACCTGAAAGCCCCTAATCTAAGGTTCTGGAAGCTTCAGGGCCGTCACTAGTGCTCCAGAGGCAGTAGAGATCTTGAATCTGCGCCTGCGCGTTTGGTGCCACGCAAGCAAATGAACGCTTTTGGGCTTGGGTGTCACATTAAGGGCTCGGGGGCTTAGGCTTTTTCATCCATGTCTGCGTCTAGGGAACTCGGAATTGTAGGACCGTGCTCTCAAAGCTGGAGTTGTTTCAGATCTTCGCTGAGATTTCTCAGGCCCTGTCAGCCGAAGGGCTCCTGGACCCTGATGGGCAGAGGCTCCTTCAGATTTTGCATTGGGGACTTAGAAATGGGTAGTTCCCTAAATTAGGGTCCCTTTTCGGGCC